TTCTCCCTTCTCCCTTCTCTTCACCGACAAAAAAACACAAGAAAAGACAAAAACACAGGGAAATGGAGGCCCTTTTCTTTTCTTATGCTTTTTCAATGGTTGGGGAAAGTGACGTGGCCCCTGTCCATGCTTCAGCGTATCCCTCCCCTTGCCCTATCTCCTTGGTTCTTTCCATTGTTCCCAAACGGAAAAGAAAGCGAGTTCCTTTCATTTTCATTGTTCTTCCTTTGGTTTTTTATTTCAAAGGCAAACGAACAAGAGAGAAGAAAGACAAGAAAGAGAGGAAAGACGAAGACGAGTACCATCTTCTCTTTGCCACGGGCAAAACCCGAGCCCTAGCTTCCAAATAAACCCTATTTAAGCCACCGGGGGGGGGAGGGGCGCCAGGCGGCCAGGGGGACAGGGTAGAAAGGCCCGAAACCACCTAAACTATCTAAACTATCTAACCTTGAATATGTAGTATGTGGGAGCTCAGTTCTCCAAAAACTTAAGGGGGACACTGCTTGCGATTTGTCATTTTGGGAGCTCCGTTTTTCAAAAACTTACGGGGGACACTGCTGGCGATTTGACATTTTGGGAGCGCAGTTTTCCAAAAGCAGGGGTACACTGCTTGCGAATTGTCATTTTGGGACCTCAGGTTTCCAAAAACTTTAGGGTGGACACTGCTTGCGATTCATCATTTTAGGTGCTCAGTTGTCCAAAAGCTTAAAGGGGACACTGCTGGCGATTTATCATTTTGGGAGCTCCATTTTCCAAAAAAATCAGGGGGGCACTGCTTGCGATCTGTCATTTTGGGCGCTCAGTTTTCCAAAAAAAAAAAGAGGGGGGACACAGCTTGCGATTTGTCATTTTGGGAGCTCCGTTTTCCAAAAACTGAAGGGGGACACTGCTTGCGATTTGTCCTTTTGGGAGCTCAGTTTTCCGAACACTTACTTGCGATTTGTCATTTTGAAAGTTCGGTTTTCCAAAAAATTAAGGGGGCACACTGCTTGCGATTTGTCATTTTGGGAGCTCAGTTTTCCAGAAACTTAGGGGGGGCACGCTTGCGATTTGTCATTTTGGGAGCTCGGTTTTCCAAAAACTTAGAGGGGGACACTGCTTGCGATTTGTCATTTTGGAAGCTCTGTTTTCCAAAACTTCAGGGGGACAATGCTTGTGACTTCTCATCTTGGGAGCTCAGTTTTCCAAACGCTTAAAGGGGACTCTGCTTGCGATTTGTCATTTTGGAAGCCCTGTTTTCCAAAACTTCAGGGGTAACAATGCTTGCGATTTGTCATTTTGGGAGCCCAGTTTTCCAAAAACTTAAGAGGGACACTGCTTGCGATTTATCGTTTTGGGAGCTCAGTTTTCCAAACGCTTACGGGGGACACTGCTTGCGATTTGTCATTTCGGGAGCTCAGTTTTCCAAAAACTTAAGGGTGACTTAAATTCCAGCCCCCCCTCTGCCCAAGGCCGTCCCCAGGAAGAACAAGAAGAAGAGAAGAGAAGGAGAAGGAGAAGGAGAAGGAGAAGGAGAAGGAGAAGGAGAAGGATAAGGGGAAGGAGAAGGAGAAGGAGAAGGAGAAGGAGACGGAGACGGAGAAGGAGAAGGAGAAGGAGAAGGGAAGAGAAGAGAAGAGAAGGAGAAGGGAAGAGAAGAGAAGAGAAGGGCAGAGAAGAGAGAGAGAGAGAGAGATAGAGAGAGAGAGAGAGAGCGCAGAGAAGCGGGAGGAAATTGTAGTGAGATGGATTGTGTCCTTACACAAACATTCAAAGAAGAGAAAGAAGAGAGGCGAGGGTGGATGAAGGTAGTGAGATTGAATAGTGGCGCCTCTCAGAATTTGTTGTTTATTCCTTCTTTCTTTCTTCCTCCCAAAGACCAGAAAGGGATGAGAGGAGAGTTACGACAATTGAAATGTTCTTTGTCCTTCTCCTTGATAAGAAAGAAGAAAAAACACTTTTGTTCATTCCTTGGTGTTTTCCTCTTGTCGTCTGTTCCTTCTCGCTGAATGAGTCTGTTGAAAGAACACGCACAAATGAACAGGGGAGCCGTTTTGTCCGTTCTGAACAGAACTGTTGGAACTCAGGGGGGGTGGATTGCAGACAAACTGGAGGGAACAGGGGAACTCAGCCCTGCGAGGGGCCACTTTTTGCAACATAACTGCCCCCCACGTGCACACGCGCAGCCCCAAATCTGACTTCGCGAGACTGTTTGCAATTCTCTCCTCCATAAGAAAAGCAAAGAGCAGAGAAAAAGCGAGAAGAGATGTGAGCGAGGACGAAGGTAACGAGATGATCTTGGGTTCTTGGACATTCATCTTTGTTTCCGGCAAGAACAGAGCCAGAGAAGAGAGATAAGAGAGCAGAGGAGAGGATGGATGAAGGCAGTGAGAATGAATCAGGGCGCCTCCCCCTTATTTTTTGGTTTATTTTCTTCCTCATTTCTTCTCCAACAGGCAAGAAAGGGAAGAGAGGAGAGATGAGGAGAGTGTGTAAATAGAAGAGTGACATGTTTTCATGTTTACCTCTGCCTTGTTCTTCTCCTGTTATCCGACTCCTTTTCTCCTGAAAGAACCGTACGTTAGTTAAAGGTTTGTTGCTTTCCTCTTGTTGTCTGTTCCTTTCTCGCTGAATGGGAAGATCAAAAGAACATGCTGGACAGGGGCACAGGGGAACCGTCTTCGTCCTTGTATATACCCCCTTCTTTCTCCTCAACCGAAGGAACGGAAAAGTTGGAACGCAGGGGAAAGATTAAAGAAGGCAAAAGGAAGGGAACAGGGGAACTCATCCCTGTCCTAGGGGGAGAATGGGCCTCCCTTACGCAACAAACAAGTACTTGCTTCTCCTTTTTCCCGTCCATGTGCTTCGCTCATCTAGTGTTATGCATTCTCTCCTCCATAGAGAGCAGAGAGAAGAGGGAGGATGAATGTGGTGACATTGGTTTGTGCTGTTAAATCTTCATTCTGTAACAAAAGAACCACATGGAGGATGAATGCAGTGAGACTGAGTAAGGGCGCTTATCTTTATCCCTTCCTTGTGTGTTTCTTGTACATTCTGCTCGTGGCTTCCTCTTTCTTTTGAGATTGGCTTGTGTTCTCAAATCTTCTTTCTGCAAGAAGAGCATCACTTATTCCTGCCTCGTGTTTTTCTTGTACATTCTGCTCGCGGCTTCCTCTTTCTTTTTCTTGTTGTTATCTAGCTTGCTTAAACACTCTTGTTGGTTCCTTGTTTTTCCCCTGTTGTCTGTTCCTTTCTCGCTGAATGGGAAGATCAAGAAAACATGCTGGACAGGGGAGACGTCGTCGTCCTTGTATACACCCTTCTTTCTCCGTAAACGAAGGAACGGACGAGTTGGAACGCAGGGGAGAGATTAAAGAAGGCAAGAGGAAGGGAACAGGGGAACTCATCCCTGCCCTAGGGGGAGAGTGGGCCTCCTGATGCAACAAACAACTAACTACTTGCTTCTCTCTCATCTTCCCGTCCATGTGCTTCGCTCATCTAGTGTTATGCATTCTCTCTCGCGCAAGAAAATCAAGAAGAGACACAAGCTAGAAGGGAGAGAGCAGAGAGAAGAAGTAGGATAAGAAGAGAACCACAGAAGAGAAAGAAGAGAGGATTAGAGGATGAGTGCAGTGAGACTGAGTGTGGGCACTTCTCTTTGCGATGGGTTTTCATTCCTCGTGTTTTCCTTGTACATTCTGCTCGTGGTTTCCTCGTCCTTGTTCTTGTTGTTCTCTTTATCTAGCTTGCTTAAACACTCTTGCTAACACCTGTAGATAAAATGAACCTGCATAAGTGGACAGTGGAACCGTCTTCGTCCTTCTTCTTTACCCCTTCTTTCTCCTTAAAAGACGGAACAGAACAGTTGGAGCGCAGAGGAGGGACTAAAGAAGGCAAAGGAAGGGAACAGGGGAACTCGTTCCTGCTCTACGAGGAGTGGGCCTCCCCTATGCAACAAACAACTACCTGCTTCTCGCTCTTCCCGTCCATGCGCTTCGCTCATCTAGTGTTACGCATTCTCTCCTCCATAAGCAAAACAAGAGACAAAAGCTAGAAGTGAGAGAGCAGACAGAAGAGGGAGGATGAATGGGTTGAGATTGACATGTGTTCTTTATATGTAGCCATTATTCTCCTCGGTAAGAAGAGCCAAGAGAGAGAGAGAGAGAGAGAGAGAGAGAGGGAGAGAGAGAGAGCGCGAGAGAGAGAGAGAGAGAGTGAGACAGAGAGAGAGCGAAAAGAGGAGACGGTGGATGAAGGTAGTGAGACTGACTTTTTCTTTGATGATTCCTTCCACTTTCCTTTTCTTCTACCCAAAGTCAAGAAAGGAAGAGAGGAGAGGGTGTAAAGTGAATAGTGACTGAATGTAAAGAGTTCTATGGTTCCTTGATCTTCTCCTGTTCCGACCCCTTTTTCTCCTCGACAACAGGAAGGGGTCATACACCCTGGACTGTTCGTACAATCCTTTTATAACCGTTGAATGCACAACCCTAGACCATGAACCCAAAAGACATAAAATGTCACCTACTTTCTAGTAGCAATATGCATAATATGAAACGCAAACTACTCATTTGATAAGTGTTAATACTGTTGAAGTAAAACCCAAAGCAAGTAATCACATTATACCTAAAGGTCCATGGCACATATATATATATATATCTCTATATATATGTAACATTTACATATATATATATATATATGTATATGTGCGGTCCCCAAAAAGGAAGGAACAACATGTTCCAAAAAGAAACCTAGTGTTGTGTCCGACGTGAAATCTCTGTACGGCTGCCATTGCTTTGATGTATGAGCACGAAGCTGTCCGGGAGTTCAGCCCACTCAGCGGCAGCCGCAGCGGCCAAATCACGAAACGGGACAGAGACATCCGCAGCCTTCGTACACAAACTGCTGTGGGGGCCAAAAGAACCGCAAAATTGGGATCAAACACCCTGCACTACCACTTGCTCTATTGACGAAACTTTAATCAGATATCTACAGGGAAGCCGAATGAGAGCATTTTTGAAGATTTACACCGTGCCGTATTCACTTCTGACTCTTAACCTGTGGGTGATGTTGGTTTGGCCGCGGGAGTTCGAAAAGACAGTGTGGGCACAAGTACAACGCAGGCCCCCTTAATGCGTCCAAGGTACCTGCTTCTGTCTGAGGAACTTCCCAAATCCTGTTGGGCCCCGACCTCTGTGCTTCCTGTGCAGTGACTGGTCTTTCGTTGGCACGCGCACACCAAAAAAACGGCAAGGCTCCACCAATACAAAGCACGCCGCCTGCGCTTTCTTTGCATGGGCGCCGCGGTGTCTTCGGCCACGGCAACCCGAACCTCAAAACAAAAATGCATGCCCAAGGATTCCTCGCTGACAGAGAGCAGAGCGGGACCTTTCTGCACACTTATCGCCGGCTCCAGGGGCTTCAGTCACAAAGGCAGGCGAGTGACCAGGTAGACCCCAGTGTAGGGCAACAAATATACAGAGAGGATGCCAAACAAAACCTTTACCATGCCAAGGGGCTTTCACGATTGCATCGTTGTCGATGTTGTCAGCCATGGATTTCCTGGTCGCTGGAAGTTGGCGCGCCTCAAAAACGGCCAGCTCCGTTTCGAAGCTCTCCTGACAGGCAAATCCCATCGCACCATCCCGCTCGTGCATGGCTATGCTGCCACCCAACTACCAACAAAACACGACACATGCCAGCTGCAATTGCAAATATCCGCACCCGCCTCCAATTCTTTCGTGATGCGCTGTCTTGGAACAGCTGGCTGCACAATGCCCGCGCCCACCGGAAGCTGGCAGGCAATGACAACCAATGTCAGCACAAACTGTTGCCTATCGACACCTTCATGCCACATATAGCAAAACGTGAGGCACACACACACACAAACCCAAAAAAACGTTGGCGTCTCCACGCCTGCATCGGCAAAGGGGGGCTATTCTCAGGAAGAAGTGGCATGGTGGTTGGCGCCGTTGCCCGGACCACGGCCTTACGCGTCGCACCATGCTCCCACGTGTTCAGCATGCTACATCGCCACATGGTGCCACGCTTTGCCTCCACATGTTCAGGAACTCCCGCTAGCATCGGAGCAGTGAAACTGGACGTCGATGGTGACGCCTGACAACGGCACGTCTTCTGCACATTTGCTACATTGCAATGATGTGTGCTCCTTGGGACATCTACATCATGCTACGCGCTTTTTGGAAACAACAATCGGCAAAACGTGCCTCGGACTCCGTTGCCACGTTGCTCTGGGGAGTTGCTGTTGGGGAATCTGATGGGGCTAACGCCAAATGTCCTGAAACAAGTACGTGTTCTCAACAAGTTCCGACTGTCCGACTGGCACACTGCGCAAATCAAGAAATCTGATGAACCCAAGTTCAAGACAGCGTGCATAATGTGCAAGCCACGAATCCGGCCCGGGCAAAAATGCCATGTCCCGGCTTGCAAGAAAAGTACGCCACGCCTTTGATGGACCCATCCTGGAAATTGCTCGCGTTCACAACAAAAACATGAACTGGCATGTATTTGCATCGCTACCGAATGTTAATTTAATGTGAACCAGATGGAATACGGGCGGGGTCAACGCTACGTCTGCAGGTTCCAATGGTTCCTGTCACAATTTGTGGTTGCAAAAACCTTTATTGAAGCCAGGCGGACATTCTTGCCAACCTGGTCATCCAACTCCACTCCGATCCTTGGCGAACATGAACAGGTAGATTCTCACAACTCGATACAATGTACAAGGGTCGTCACAATGTGCTACGACTGGGAGCCTGATCGACCCTTGTCCTGACTTCAACAAATCTCTCGTTGAAAAGTCAAATGTTGCATTGCATACCACCATATGCCCGACAACCTTTCTGCCGGACATGACACATGTGCACATTCGATCTCGATGTCTCGTGCATGAGTGACCTTGCCCGCGTAAACAGGCGTCCTTGTAATTACGCTCTGCCAGCCTTGCCACCAAGCGCCTGCGCGCTCTTGCGTTCTCAAGCTGGGCCGCACGCGGGCGCCTGGTTAACAGCCATTCCAGCGGAGCCCGCCACCACACTGCCCGCGCAAGCAATGCAGCTCGCCTTGCACCGCCGAATGCGCCTCCCGCTCCCCCTACGATTAAGTCGGTGCGGCCCATCTCCCGGTTGCGGCGAGCTCGTCGACACGTTCGGCGATCATGCCTTGGCCTGCCCTCGCACAGGGCTGTTGGCTCGGCGAGCAAAGACCGTTGAACGGGCATGGGTGAGGGTCGCACGCGCAGCTGTTGGAGCAGACGGCCAGGTAGTCCCGCAGCAATGGCTCTGCAACACCACTGCTCCTGGCGTTGCCCCAGGCGACAGACGCCGCCTCGACTTGGTGATCTACGGAGCAACGCCTATGGGTGGAGCAGTGGTGGAGCGTTGTGCTGTGATGCGACCCTGGTGTCGCCGCTCACGCGCACGGGCCAGGCCCAACCCTGCGCTGCCGCGCACGACGGCGCCATGCTGCGGGTGGCCGAGCGGCGCAAGCGAACCCGGAGCTCAGCGCGGCGGTCCGCAGCGGTTCCTCGTCCTCGGCTCCGAAGTAGGGGGGCGCTGGAATGAGGCAGCACAGGGGCTCGTGAGAGACTTGGCGCGCGTTCGCACCCAACGGGCCCCGCCGGCACTGCGAGCTGCGGCCACATCCGCCTGGACAACACGGTGGTGCGCGGCTCTGGCTGTAGCGGTACAGCAGGCAGTGACCAGCACGGCCCTAGGAAGCCCATGGCCCGCGCCGCCACACGCGAGCCAGCGACAGGGCCCCGCGCTCGACCAGGTGCTCGACCTCGCCGACGCTGCGGGGCCGAGCCGATTGCCGCTGCGCTAGCCCGCTAGCCGTAGTGGGGCGGCAAGGGTGACTATAGTAGGGTAACTCGACCTCGCAGGACCTCCATCAAAACGTGGAATGATACGCTGCTTGTTGTGCAATCTTGGTTGTTGCGATTTTACCGTGCGTGCCCTTGTCCGTTTTTTTTCACACCCGCCGGAAAAGACCGGTCCATACAGCAGGGTTTGAGCCGCTGCCCAACCTTGCTGGCCGATGTGTCGGGCTTGCCTTCACCACGCGGGCAGGGTCTGAGCCCAACAGTCGCGCAGAAACAAAACAAGCACGGCGAGGTGCAACGCCTGGAGTGCTTCAGTATGCTACAGTTGCGCCAACACTACTACTAGCGCCCGGCATCCCACCCTCCAAAACTTTTATTATGCTGGACGCAGGGGGTTCTTCAGAACGTGGGCAGCGTTTTTTTTTTTTTTTTCCTCGGACTTTTCCGCCTGCATCTGGTCACCAAAATGCTGAGTTGGTGCGCGAGTTGAAGGAAAACGTGCGCCTTACCCTCCCCCGAATCTCCTGCAGCAGATTGCAGCTTGTGTGTTGGCGGTGCCGCTGCCCGTTTACCGCCGCAGTTTCCCCCACAGTACGCAGCATTTGCTCGCTGCCCCTGAAATGGGGCCGTTGCAACACGAGAATGCCGAAACATCAGTTCTCGCAGCCCTCGCCTCGGCTTGTGTGCCACCACGACACGCTTGTGTGCCCACAAGGACATTCATCTGGCAGCAACTGGCACCTTGGCCCTAACCTGAAAACGTGATTTCGCCGAAAGGGCTTGATTCCGCCAGCATGGAGTAGGCAAGCAACCGCATATGTCGACCAGAGTCCCAGCTCCCGAGAATGAACCAGGCCCTGGATGGTGTGGACATTGCGACATGGCCCCCTCCTCGGCTTGGCTGTGGCGGCAAACACGGCACAACATGGCCTGCGGTTGGGGCGAGTGCTGTCTGGATGACACTGGCGGCTTAGAAGTCGGCAGCCAGGGTGCAGATCGACCCAGGTCGTTCGCCCGCCGCCTGCAGCTCGGAAGTCGGTAATTAGCATCCACGATCGCGTGATATCGCTGGACGCTTATTGGGTTTAGGATTTGTAGGGCCCAGCGGTGTTTGTTCTTGTGCCTTCCCATGAAACAGACCTCAAGGCTGCGATTACGAAAAATCCTGAACAGATGGCACCTCTCAGGCGCACAAAGCCGTCCCAAAAAAAGGAAACACATCACACGTACACAAGGATTGCTGCAGCGCCAGATCGCAACAGCCTTCTTTGCAGAAAGAGATTGCTTTGCGCGCGGAGCGAGATCCAAGTGATTCCAAGTGCGCACCCGGCTTGAAAGCGCAGCTGCCGCATGCATTTGTTTCTTGTCCGCACTAAAGGAGATGCAAGTGTTGTCGCGGCGTCGAGAACGCCCCCCGTCGCGCGAGCGGCTGCACCACTGGTGCCGCGTTGCGCTTGGCTCGCCAGGCCAAGGAGCGGACGTACCCGGAGCTCTGCCGATCAGCCCGCTCCCGCTGCAGGGCGCGGGCCGCGCCTGCAACCGCTAGAAGCGCAGCCACCTCGGCATATGTGCTCCGCTGGTCTGCCCTCATCTCCACGCGCGCCTTTTGTGCCAGCCTCCTCGCACTCCCTCTAGCGAACACTGGCAATGTCGATGGAAACATCCCACTCCTCAGCGACGTCTTGGCAGACTGCTCGGCCCCTCCTCCCCTTGCCAGCCGCATGCCGTGACACGGCCACCGCACGCAATACCTAGCTCCCTGCCCACCGCCGCCTGATGCGCTCACTGCACCCTGTGCCACCCGTAGTAGACTGAGATCGACCGCTCTGGACTTGGGAAAAAGGTGCGTGGAAAAAAAATTCGCGGATTGCGAGCCAAGTGCAGGTGCCCGCGACACGAGAACGCAGCAATGCTTTAGCATGAACATGTCCATTTGCACACTCAAAGAAACACGTACATTTGCATACTCGCTCAAAACACAGTAGTTTCGCCCATGCCGCTGCCTATCAATGTGCCGCGTTCAGACACATGCACATGCACATGTCTGTGCGAACGGGGAAAGATGGGCGCATGCTGTCGCCGCAGCAGAAGGAACAATGTTCGCGAATCAGCATGAAGGTGTGCGTGTGCTGAGGAAAATGCATAACAACGTATCGCTGAACAGCGATCCCCCCCCCAAGTTGGAGGACTGTAAACTGCGGAGACCGCATCGGCAAAGCACACATGGCCAAACCCGCAACTTTTGGTATCTCACATACTCCAACACAGATGCCCACAGTTTAAATCAAATGTGTTGAATAATTGCTTGTCGCCAATACGCTCACGGGCAATTCTAATTTGTTTTTTTCAAGGCCTCGGCGAAGCGCTTGCGGCCTGGGCCCGAAGGCTGCCAGAACAGCCCCAGCCCCACATCGGGCGAGCAAGCGCACGAAGCGTGCGGCTTCGGGGCTCCAGCGCGCTGGCCTCGATAGCGACGAGCATGGTCATCGTCGCTACAAAACAAGCGCAAAGAGCTCGGGTTGCGCCGCCCCCATTTTTTGGGATCCCAAACCGTGTGAGCTGGACATGCAAGCATGCGCCGATGCGCCGACTCGCATGTTGCGGCTCAAAAAAAGCCAAGGAAACAGGGGATCAAGGCATGATCAGCTGCTGTAGGGCTGCGATGATGGTCGCGCTGCCTTAACACCACAAGTCCTTGCACCGTGTGCAGGCGCAGGCTGTGCCATACATCATGCATATGCATGTACCTGGAAAGCCTAGTTGCCAATAATTTGTGGCAACTAGTGAAAGTGCCGCTTTTGACGCTTTAAACCA